ATGTTATCTAATTCTGGGTTTTATTTAATTGACCAAACTAAGTAATAATTTTAATTAGCAATTTTATGATGTTTGTGTGTCTATATTTTTCTTGACTGTACACCGCCTTGAGTCCTACGGGAGAAAGGCGGTATAGAAATATAATAAATAAATAAATAAATAAATAAATAAATAAATGCATTGTAAGCCGCCCTGAGTCTCCGGAGAAGGGCGGCATATAAATTGAACCAATAAATAAATAAATAAATAAATTTCAGAGTTCAAAAAAATATAAGACAGGGTCTTATTTTTGGGGAAACATGGTTATCTATCTATCTATCTATCTATCTATCTATCTATCTATCTATCTATCTATCTCATTATCTATCTATCTATCTATCTATCTATCTATCTATCTATCTATCTATCTATCTATCCTGTTTCCCCCAAAATAAGACCTCCCTGATAATAAACGCAATCGGGCTTTTGAGTGCATGGCAATCGGGAGCAAACCCCACTCCCTTCTAGGACTGATGGGGTTACCTAGCTGGGTAATGAAACATCTGCCAGCAAACAACCAAGCTCAAAAAGAACTAAGGAACCCACAATCCTCCTCTTCCTCTTTCCCCTCCTCCTCCTCTTCTCCTTCTCCTTCCCTCCACAAACCTTCTAGTATGCATGGTGTTATCTAGTTGGGTAATGAAATGTCTGCACAAAAACCATTAAGCTCAGAGTGCACCAAGGTCTTCCTCCTTTTTTCCTTCTCCTCCCTTCCATAAACCATTCTGCCTTCTAGCACTGATGATGTTATCTAGTTGGGTAATTAAATGTCTTCACAAAAAACCATTAAGCTCAGAGAGCATCAAGGAGCCCACAGTTCTCCTCCTCTCCTCATTCTCCTTCTCCTCCCTTCCATAAACCATTCTCCCTTCTAGCACTGATGATGTTATCTAGTTGGGTAATTAAACATCTTCACAAAAAAAAAAAAACCATTAAGCTGGGAGAGCACCAAGGAGCCCCAAAGTCCTCCTCTTCCTCCTCCTCCTCTCTACAAACCACAATCCTTTCCAGCACTGACGACGTTACCTCGCTGGGTAATAAGACGTCTGCAAGAAGACAAGGTCAGGGAGCACCAAGGACCCCCATATCCGATTTAGAAATGGAAATCTCTTGTTCTGGGTTCGAGAGTCAGGGATCCCGGGAGGGCTGGATTTAAATTCCTGAACTGAGCAGGGAAGAGAGGTGGCTGGCCTCCAGAGCCCAAATGTACATCTCTCACGGTCCTTGCTTCCGCTATTTCCAAGAAAAACAAGACGCATACGTTCCATCTGTTTCTCTGCAGGGGATGTATAGGGCTAACTCTTTTGGGGAAATAATTTATGCAGGGAGGAAGCGAACGCAGCCGAAAAAAAAACCAAAAAAAACAAAACAAAACAATTCTAGAACTCCTTGATGAGCTGAAAACAAACAGATCGCAAGGGGCAGGTGGCAGCTGTCCAAGGAGTCTTCAAGAAGCAAACGGGAAACGGCAGACCTTCTGTCAAAAATATGTAGCGCATCTTCAAAGTGGTCTTCGGGACCGGAGAACTGGATAACGGCCAACGGCAAGGCGGGTTTTTTTTAAAAATATTAGAACTCAGATCCAAGAAATTACACAGCAGTTTTTGTCTTAGTTTGGTCTTGGAAGGAAGGAAGGAAGGACTTTTTTTTCATGGGCTGGAAGACCAGGAGGAGAGGTCACGACGTGATTTCGAAGGCAACCAAGAAAGACCCCAAAGGTGCTGTTTTCTCAGGAGGCGTCTGGACTTATCTTGAGTTTTACTTTGAGGACGTTTCGCTTCTCATCCGAGAAGCTTCTTCGGCTCTGACTGGATGGTGGGAGAATGGAAGGCTTGATACTCCTTGCAGAGCAGCTGGTCGTTTGCATCCTTTCAGAGGGTCGTTGAGGCCACTTGGAGGTTTGTCCTAAGGATCGAGAAGATCTTTCATGGAAAATGTGCTCGGGAGGACCTACCTGGCTTTAGATGGGTCACAGATTTAGATAGAACATTAGAGTTGGAATGGAGAAGATAGGAGATGATTAAGACAAGGGATTCCCCGTTTGATGGATGGCACCTTTACGCTGGCATGATGCTGCGGTATGGTCAAAATCCTGTTGTGACCTAGGCTTCCCGAGTCATGAAAACACACGAGTAGTCCCAAAAACCTCTTTTATTGCAACAGCTGTGAATTACGTTCATTCACAGCTGAGTCCCAATTAGTTGCAGAAAGTCCTTTGGGAGAAGTCCTTCAAGATAATCACCAACCTTTATCTCCCTTGACACGCTGCCAAAGACCTACTTGGCAAAGCCACACGGAGTCCAGAATCAAACAGAGATTCCGACTGGGAACAGAATTAACAATGTTGCTTTCCTGCAAAGGGCCCACGTGCCTTTGCTCCTCTTTCAAACCTTATGGGAGGGGCCAATCATCTCCAGGCCTTACTTCTGAGTCGCCCCTTTTGTCTTAACTGTTCTTGCCTTCTGGCAGGTCTGCGCATGCGCAAACTAGGAACAGGCTCCTCCTGTTCCTCTGCCTCTCTGATGTCCAACTCTGGAGGCTCCGGAGTCCATGCATAACTCCCAGATGGCCCTGGACCCATCTCTGACGCAGAGCCCTCGTCTGGGGCATTGGTTATCGGGAATGACTGTTTACCTCTCATTTCCTTAAAAAGTGCAAAAGGAGGTCTCCCATCAAGAACTACTTGGATCTTTCTGTTCCTTCTCTGTGAGAACGTGGGGCTGAGTGTCCTCTTGCCATCCCTTTCTAGTCAGCTGCGATGCCTCCAGTGCTGCTTGGCTTTTGATCTAGCTAAACAGAACTGGAGAAAAAGATGGCAAAGTATGAATCGCAGAGAGACAAGGAGATCTCTCCCTCGTAAAGACGGCTTGTTTTCGATTTCCTGAGCTTGGGGGGAAAAAAACACAGCCCAAAGGCTCTGGAAGCTTAGATTTAGTTCAATGATCTAGAATAGAATAGAAGGGAAGGGAAGGGAAGGGAAGGGAAGGGAAGGGAAGAGAAGAGAACTTTGGAAGGGAAGGGAAGGGAAGGGAAGGGAAGGGAAGGGAAGGGAAGGGAAGAGAAGAGAAGAGAAGAGAAGAGAAGAGAAGAGAAGAGAAGAGAAGAGAAGAGAAGAGAAGAGAAGAGAAATTAGGAATGGAATGGAATGGAATGGAATGGAATGGAATGGAATGGAATGGAATGGAATGGAATGGAATAGAATAGAATAGAATAGAATAGAATAGAGTAGAGTAGAATGAATTTGCTTTGAATTAGTTTGGACTACGCTGAGAATGAGTTAATTTTCAGCTGTTCTAATAAAGTCTGTTTGTTTCAAACTGTTTGCGTCTGATAATACCTACTTGGGCCTGGGTCACAACAGGTCGTAAGTGAAGGACTACCTGTTATTTTATTAGGAATGGATGACTTGAAATCCGGGGGAAGGATTTGTGTTTGTTCATGCTATCCCTGTTTCTCTATGAATCGGGTTGTTGGTGTTTTTTTTTAAACGCACAACGGATTGTGAATACAAAGGGCCTTTACACAATGCGTTCAGAGCACGCATCTCGAGTTTTTTTTTCCTCATCACAAAATCTGCACGTTTAACCCAAGTTTGCGCTTTAGGGAGAGGGGGCAGGCTGCATTGTAAAATTCGGAGAGGAGAGAAGCGCGAAGGATAATTATATTCTAAATAGGAGATCAGTCTGGGAGCCGCAGAGCAGCTGAGAATTCCCAGAAATAAAATTACCAGCGAAACAAACAAACACGAATTCCCCCGTGAATCTCGCAGCTTCTTAATACATACAATAGATCGGAGGCGGCACTTTTAGCTCACTCTGGTTTTAGTAAAAGAAAGGGGGGGAAAAAAACCCCTCGATATTCATTTTCGCCAAAAGAAAAGGGGCCGCAGTCACTTAAGTCTACTCCCAGAGTATCGTGTTGTTTTGGGTGAGATCACACAGCTCTAAGTCATGGTTTAGGGAATAAGCCACAATTCCCTGGGCTCAAGCATCACATCAATCCATCGGTCTCCCTTCCTTGTCTTTAGAAGCAGAAACTTCCGATCTGAACTTTGTCTCTTCTTGGGTTTTCCCTTAAACCCGGTTGTCTTGAATATGTTTTGGGAGGAAATGAAGGATATAATACGAATGGAGGATATAAATCAAACTTAGTCCTGATGACGTTACCTAGTTGGATAATAAAACGTCTGCAAGAAAACAACCAGGCTCAGAGAGCACCAAGGACTCCACAAGCCAATCGAATAACAATACTGGCGACAAAACACAAACCCAAATCAAACCACAATCCGCTTAACGGGACGCGAGAATCCTTTGAATCAACCGTTCCGCAAGACGCCTCCTTCTGAACTTTGCAGGGCGGTGAATAAAAACGAGACAGGGTTTTTTTTTCTTCCCCAACGCGGTCTTTTGTTTTAATAAGAAAAGTCAACAAAGAAGGGGAAACGGGAAAACAGGGATGAGCTAACGATTTAAGGGTTCGATTCATTTGCCTAGCTTTAGTTTGAAGGCAAAATAACAGGGATGGTTTACAGAGTCTTTCCAAGGGGAATCGTTTGGTCCCATGACTGGATCCAGGAGAGATCTTGGGAAGCTGGGGAACAGGTTTCAAAAAGGATGAAATAAGTAAATGATTGAGATTCCTTTTGAACCCACCATGTTCTGATCCACAATCATGATATCAGGATGGAAAGTGGGGTGGAAAAACCCAATTTTGGACCTCAAATTATATATATATATATATATATTTGTTTTCTAAGGTTTTTCTGCGATCACACACATTGCTCCTAGAAGCACGAAGCCGAAGACACCAGCCTGAAGATGATGAATGAGACTTCGTCGAAACGTTGCCAAGAAACCTCCAATTTTACGCGGGAGAAAACCCGAATAACCAAAGACCTACATATATATATATAATTGTAGAAAAGAGATAGAAAGTTTTTTTTAAAAAAAAGGAGAACCGAAGAGCGAAAGGATGAATTTTTATTCGTGTCAACTGAGATCTTCTTGAAAGCCATGAAGGAATTCGGATCAAGCCGGGAGGCTGAGCTTTGAGAGACGGACTATGCGCATGATGGCAAAGGTATGCCAGCTGCTTTTCTGGTTCCTGGCACGCCCGCCAGCTGATCTTTGCAGGCGCTGGAGCACCAGAAAACAGCCTAAAAACAGCCCGGAAAAAACGGCCTGAGAATGGTCCCAAAATGGCCCAAAACAGCCAAAAAACAGGCATGTGTGCGCCGGCCAGCTGGGCTGGTCTTCGGGTTTCCGACACTCCGCTGCACACACCTGCACAGCGTTACGATTTGGGCACTTGGTGCCTAAAAGGTTCGTCATCACTGGACTATACCTTCTTCTCCTTCTTGGTTGAACAAGGTCGTTATCCTGAAACCGGTCACGACGGTTGACCAAAATATGCATTTAACCCTGCTGAAGTTCATGGAGACATTGATCTCGGTCAAGGAGAAATGAGAGATCGCTCTATGGAAGGTTTGTCTTCCGCTCCGGGCTTCTTCAGATCCATCTTCTACTTCCAGAGAAGGTGTTCTTCTCAACTCAACTAGGTTGGGTCATTGCCGACACGTGTCATGGAAGGCTTCCAGGGTCCGAAAATCCCGCCAAGTTGGAGGGAGGCCATCCTGCAGGAATTTTCCACAACGTTGGCACGGAGCTTGGAACAGCTTGATGTAACTTCTCAGCCAGGTCTGAAAAACAAAAAACAAAAAAGGAAAGAGACTTAGTGTGAAAACAAAACATGGCTTTAGTTTCATCTTTTAACGACCCCATAATCCCTTGCGGAGTGGAATTTGGGTAACTGAATGGAGCTAGAGTGTTTTTTTACTGGCCCACTGCCCTTCCTGTCGCCAATGAGGAGTTTTGTTCAGCAGATATATTCTCATTGTGCCCAGAGAGAGAAATAACTGCCTCTACCGAGGATAGAACTCACAGCCTCCTGATTGTGAGGCGAGAGCTCCACCTCTAGGCCACCGCGCCACTCCTTGAGGAAGCCCAGATGTAGACTTAGAAAGGAAGAATGGAAGGCTTGAGGGTTACCTGAGCTTCGGTTCTCCTGCGATGCTCGTTCTTTTCCAACTTTCTCAACAGACACTGACAGAAAACAGGCGTCTTTGACTTACAACAATTCACTTAGTGACCTTTCAAAGTTACAACGGCACTGGGGAAAAAAAGGGACCGAGGACTGTTTTACACACTTACGACTGCTGCAGTCCCACGATCAAAATTCAGACCCTCGGCAACTGACTCGTATTTATGGCGGTCGCAGTGTCCCGGGGTCATGTGATTTCCCCTCCTGCGACCTTCCGACCAGCGGGGAAGCCAGATTCACTTAACAACCGTGTTACCGACTTAACCACTGCAACGATCCACTTAACAACAATGGCAAGAGAACTCATAAAAACGGGATAAAATTCACTTAATAAACGTGGCAACCGTATCCTGCCATGGGTATATTACTTGGATAACATGCCCACGGCAGGTTTCACTTAGTTTTGGGCTCAATTGTGGTCATAAGTCGAGGTCTACCTGCAGTTAATGGTGAAAATAGGAAGAAAAAAAAAGAAGCGGGGGGAAGGTTATATTTCCAATCTTACTGACAGAAGTCAATGAAATATTTTTACGGTGCCCGCTCTCTCTCTAAGGTTACCTCCCAATTTCCTTCCTCCATAAGCTAAGCCTTTCTAATCTTCACACTCATAAATCAGAGAGAGAGTTTTTTCTCTCTCTCTCTCTTTTACAGCAAAAAAAAATCCATGGGGGTTTCCGTTCCCCGATTTTTCTTCTTCTAATTAAACAGATTCATTTTTGCCATTTCTGCTCCTTCTGCTGTCTTCACCCAACCTCTCTACGGTGAACATCTTGTGGTCCTCAAAGAATAATCTTTGTGATTTTCGCTTTTCCACCCTTTGGCTCTCAAGTCAAATCCCTTCCGCTCACCGTGCGAACGAGGAAAAATTATCAAGGACCTCAGGGGATCCTCGCCTTACGACCACAACGGAGCCCCAGATTTCCGGCACTGAGGGAAACAATTGTTCGCCGTTTTGGTCCCATTTTATGACTTTTCTCGCCATGGCGGTTAAGCGATTCCCGGTTAGCAATGCGGTTGTTAAGTGAATCTGGCTTCCCCATCGACTTTGCTTGTCAGAAGGTGGCAAAACATGTCATAAATACGAGTCAGTTAGTGCCTGAATTTTGATCTCGTGGCATGGGGATGCTGCAACGGTGTGGAAAATGGATCCTAAGGTCATTTTTTCCCCCAGTGCCGTCGTAATTTCCAACGGCCACTGAAAGAACTGTTGTAAGTCAAGGACTATCTGAGGGATAAGAAAGGGAAGAATGCTAAGGATGGTTTTCCTACGGTTATCTAAGGCTAAGGCTTAAAGGGCTTCTTCTTACCCAGACCGAATTGCGGGCTCAGGGAGAAAGGCAGCGAAAATAAATAAAAATAAAACAAGTTTCTGGAGCAATCAGATTCGAACTAGCCACAACGGTCATGAATCTTGTCATGGGAGGTCTGGCTGAATTATATCGATCAGAGAAAATTGCTCTCTGAAGGCCGTGCGGACTGCCTTTATGAAAATGAATTCTCTTCGCCTTGATTGGAGCTGCTCCTCCGTCTCAGGCAGTCAATAACTTCCTCTCTCCTCCTCAGAGTATTCTCGGAGTAGAGAAAGCACGTAGATCGGCCTTCAAGCAGGACCGGGCCAATGGCGGCCCGTTCGCGCTTCATCTGACTGGCCTCGCGTTCATCAAAGACCCTGACGTACAGATCCTACAGCCGTTTGTCTGGAATGGGGGTCTCCCGCTTGAGCAGGGGGTTGGACTAGAAGACCTCTAAGGTCCCTTCCGACTCTGTTATTCTGTATTCTGGAGTCTCCCGTTCAAGCAGGAGGAGAAGGAGGATTATGGAGTCCTTGGTGCTTTCTGAGCTGGGTTGCTTTCCTGCAGATGTTTCATTACCCAACTAGGTAATACCATCAGTGCTAGAAAGGAGTGGGATGTGATTAGAGGAGGAGGAGGAGGGAGGGAGGAAGTGGGGACTGTGGGGTCCTTGATGTTCTCTGGTGGGTTTTTTTTTGCAGACGTCTGATGACCCAACTAGGTAACACCATCAGAGTCACTACTGGGCAGCATCTCAAAGTAATAAAGAAATAAAACCTACCATGAAGGAGCGGACAACCACGTCGGGCATCTGAGGGAGCTGGTAGTGCAACAGGGCTGTGGTTGCATGATCCGTCACCTGCAGAGGAGACAAAGAAGAAGAGCTATGAAACCCCGACCCAAATCATTCTAGCGACTGCTAGATTACGAGATCTAATACAGGATGGTCTCGATTTACAGCTACAATGGGGAGCAGAGTTTCCATTGCTAAGTGAGGCAGTTGTTAAATTTAGGAAGGAAAGAAGGAAGAAGGAAGGAAGGAAGGAGATGGGGAAGGAAGGAAGGAAGGAAGGAAAGAAGGAAGGAAGGAAAGAAAGAAGGAAGGAAGAAGATGGGAATGAGAAGGAAGTAAGGAAGGAAAGAAAGAAACAAGGAAGGAAGGAAGGAGATGAGAATGAAAAGGAAGGAAAGAAAGAAGGAAGGAAGGAAGTAGATGGGAATGAGAAGGAAGGAAGGAGATAGGGATGAGAAGGAAGGAAGGAAGGGAAGGAGATGGGAATGAGAAGGAAGGAAGGAAGGAGAGGGGAAGGAGAAGGAAGGAAGGAAAGAAGGAAGGAAGGAGATGGGAATAGGAAGGAAGGAATGAGGAGGGAGGAGGAAGGAAGGAAGGGAATAGATGAACAGAGAGGCAGAAGAGGGGGAGTGGTGGAAGGATGGATTTAATGTATTCTACTTGTACACTCCCTGACTTTGAATTGACTCTGGACGCCATTCAATAAAACCCAGCAGAATAAAAATGCGGATACAACAATTAGATGGATGGATAGACAGGCAGGTAGAAATCTAACAGACAGAAGAGAAAAATACTTAAAAACTTTTTTAAAGTATTTTTTTAAATCATCCCCCCCCCCCCCCCCCCCCCCCCCCGGCCTGTTTTTACTGTTATAAACCATCCAGAGTAAAATCCCGCAGCGAAATTCGGCCAGGGAGTTTGGGTTGCTTGTTCGTCTTGGGAACTCCCCAGCACAATCCATTTCTTTGGGGGCCCGAAAATAGCAACCATTTTTTTTATGGTGCCCGTACCTGGAACCGAACAAATGTGCTTTCTTTGGCTGAACAGAGTGTGGGCACCCAGGCTCTAAACCCCGCAGAGGTGGGTCGGGTGGCGCATTCTCATCGCCCTTCAGCTCCCGTCAATTAAAATGCAGGCCCCAATGTTGTTGTTGGTGAGTGCAATTCATCAGTGGAAGCACGCACGCACACACTCGCGGCCTCTGGCTCTGCTGCAGAGCAGGTAATTTTCTTCCCTCGCAGGGCGAGTCAAGAAATCTTTGACCATCCTATGCTAAACAGCCCGAGATGGCTCCCAGCGGCCATTCCCAGCGGCCATTAAGAGAGTGGTGGGATGGGAGGTTTTGGGAGGAGAAGGTTGCGGGAAAGATGCTCATGGCTGCTTTTACGGGTTGGGTTGGGAGGGAGGAAGGAAGGAAGGAGAGATAAGGATGGATGGATGGATGGATGGGAGGGAGGAAGGAAGGAAAGAGAGCTAAGGATGGATGGGAGGGAGGGAGGGAGGGAGGAAGGAGAGATAAGGATGGATGGGAGGGAGGGAGGGAGGAAGGAAGGAAAGAAAGAGGAAAGAGAGATAAGGATGGATGGGAGGGAGGGAGGGAGGGAGGGAGGGAGGGAGGAAGGAAGGAAGGAAGGAAGGAAGGAAGGAAGGAAGGAAGGAAAGAGGAATAAGAATGGATGGGAGGGAGGGAGGGAGGAAGGAAAGAGAGATAAGGATGGATGGGAGGAAGAAGGAAGGAAGGAAAGAGAGAAAAGGATGGATGCGAGGAAGAAGGAAGGAAGGAGGAAAGAGAGATAAAGATGGATGGCAGGGAGGGAGGGAGGGAGGGAGGGAGAGAGGGAGGAAGGAAGGAAGGAAGGAAGGAAGGAAAGAGGAATAAGGATGGATGGGAGGGAGGGAGGAAAGAAGGAAAGAGATATAAGGATGGATGGGAGAAAGGAAGGAAGGAGGAAAGAGAGATAAGGATGGATGGCAGGGAGGGAGGGAGGGAGGGAGGAAGGGAGGGAGGGAGAAGAGATTGGTCCAGAATGGTATGGAGTTTCCTGCTTAAGCAATGGACTAGACGAGAAGACCTTTAAGGCCCCTTCCAACTCTGTTATTCTGTATCCAGAAAGGCACTACTACTACTACCGCTGCTGCTACAGTAGTAGTAGTAGTAGTAGTAGTAGTAGTAGTAGTAGTAGTAGTAGAAGAAGAATTTACACTACAACCACTAATTTGCTTTGGAGAGAAAGAGGCACCGCCATTAACAAACTGAACGGGGGGCACGAAGCACACTGAGCTAGTTTAATAGCCGGCTAATGAGATTTTGCTGAAAGGTAAAAAAAAGAAAACCCTTATAATCATATTTTGCAAACAGAACAAGGGGCGTCGGGCAGCAGCTCAGAGGAACAAGAGAAAAACGCCGGCGTTTTGAACCCCATCAAAGGAGACGCAGAGGAAGAAGAAGAAGAAGGAAAGAACGGAGGGCGAAATCGCCCCATTGATTTAACGAAGATATTCCACCCCAAAGACATTCCGGCTTCGTTGTCCGTCCCCCACCCCAGAACGGGGCGATGTCTTTCAAGAAGCTTTTGCTTTGACCAAGGAGAAAGATTCAGTTTAGGGGAAAAGATCCTCCGTGGAGTGATTTACGAGATCATTAGTGTGAACGGATCATGACGGGGAAAGGCAACTCGAGATATTTAATTTGTCCATCCGAATTCGGAGGCCGTTTTGACGGGGAGGGAGGGGGCTCCACCCTGTAACGTCCCTTCCTTCCCAACTGCGGCTCTATTTCAATTTCTAATTGCAAAACTTTTCTTTCAAAGGGGGAGAGGGGTGGGTGGGTTTGTTTATTTATTTATTTAAAGATATAGTTTAAAAAAGCTGGGTGACTTTGGACCAATTACCTTCGTTCCATGGTTTTCCTCGGGGGGGATGAATGACAGAAATGAGACTCAGGTCATCCAGGCCAAAGGTATCTAAAGGTTTAAACTAAGTTAAATTTACTTAAACGTTAATCTAAGTTTGGTTCGGTTGCCGTGATTTGACCTTTAGATACCTTTTTGAGGTCCTTGGTGTCCCTGAGCTTGGTTCTTTTCTTCCAGATGTTTCATGACCCATCTAGGTAACATCATCAGAGGTGAAAGAGAGTGGTGGAGGAGGAGGAGGAGGAGGAGAAGGAACAGGGCTGTGGAGTCCTTGGTGCTCTCTGAACTTGGTTGTTTTCTTGCAGAAGTTTCATTAACCAAACTAGATAACAACATGTGTTCTCCACAGTCATACCAAAAAATAAAACGATGGTCCTTTGGGGAATATTATTATTATTATTATTATTTTGCAGACATCTGGTTTGAACTTGGCCTTTCTTGTTGCGAGCACCTTCTGCTTAATGATTACGTTTCTTGCTTCTTCCTTTTTCGAAAGCAAACGTTGATGAGACCGTCAAAAGAAGAAGGAAGCATTAAAACCCACCAAGGAAAAAGGAACGGTGGTTAAAAGCATTTATCAACTCTCCCAAGCTTGAAGGCCCAGCTGATGGATGGTGGAAATAAAATGATGTAAAAGGAGGCTGAACATCCTCGAATCTGTCTCTATCATCTGCACAACCTCCCTCGCGTTTTCTCTTGAGTATTTGCGATCCATTTCTCAGACAGAGGCGGATTCTACTCCTCCGACCAGTCTGCCAGGGTCATTTGGAGGGGGAGTGCCAACGCGTTGCTATTTTGGTTGGGCTGCTTAGAACGGCAGAGAAGCTGAGATTGGACGAAGCAGAGTGTCTGGCTTTATCAAATGTAGAAAGGAGAATGGCCACCCAGCAACGGAAGTGGATTTGGAGGCCCATCATCCCTCTCTTGATAGATCTGCTGAGATGTCTTGCTGAAATCGTTCAGCTTTGGGGCATCTTGCTTGTATGTGAGTGTCCATCTGTCCATTCAACTGTTCCTCCGTCCATCTACCCATTGGTCCATCCATCCATCAATTCATCTATCCATCCATCCATTCACTTAACCATCCATCCATCCATCTACCCATTCACTCATCTATCCATCTACACATCCCACCATCTCTCCATCCATCCACTAAACCATCCATCTATCCATCCACCCATTGATCGATCCACCCATCCATCTATCCATCCATCTGTCTAGCCATCCATCCATCCATCACTCATCCATTCACTTAACCATCCATCCACCTACCCATCCATCTACACATCCCTCCATCTCTCCATCCATCCACTAAACCATCCATCTATCCATCCACCCATTGATCCATCCACCCACTGATCCATCCACCCATCCATCTACACATCCCACCATCTCTCCATCTCTCCAGTAAACCATCCATCTATGCATCCATCCATCCACCCACCCATCACTCATCCATTCACTTAACCATCCATCCATCCATCCATCCATCCATCCATCCATCCACCCACCTACCCATCCACCCATCCATCTACACATCCCTCCATCTCTCCATCCATCCACTAAACTATCCATCTCTCCCTCCATCCATCTTGCTCAAACCTTACAACCTTTCTTGTCACAGTCATTAAGCAAATCCCTGCCGTTCTTAAATTAGGAGCACGGTTGTTAAGCGAATCGGGCTGCCCCATTGACTGTGCTCGTCAGAAGGTTGCAAAAGGGGATCACGTGATCCCGGGACACTGCGACCGTCATAAATATGAGCCGGTTGCCAAACACATCCCAATTTGGGTCACGTGACCAAGGGGGGGAGAATGCTGCAATGGTTGCGTGAAAAACGGCTGTAAGTCCCTTTTTTCCAGTGCCGTCGTAACTTCAAACGGTCACTAAACGAACTGTTGTAATCTGAGGACTGCCTGTATTCTATTTTCCACTGGTGTTTTTCTTGGGCTAGCCTGCCTTTGTTGTAAAAGGCCACGAGGCTGTTTCAGCCACCAACCCAAAACAATAACACCAACAACAACATACTGCCGATGGGAGGAGAGGAAACCCGATCGATATCGCCAACGTTTTCTCTTCCTTTTGCAAAAGATGGCCTTTCGGAACGGAGCGCTGGGTGGGAGGAAAGGCTGCTTTTCTCTTCTTTGTTTCGAGGGGGGAATCTCTTTATTTTCTTGGTTTATTTCAGCGGTCGGAGGGCTCCACCCCTGCTCCTTCTTCCCGCCGGGTTTAAAATGTCAAGGAGAGGCAGAGACGTCCCCGACTTCTCTCGGCCCTTTTGTGATGCGTTTTTATGGCCTCTATTCTTTCCGATTCTTCCCTGCTGGCTCCGCCAAGACGAACAAAAAGGCCCAGCACCCCACCTGGGAACTCAGGAAAAACTCTGGGGGTGAACTTTGGTGAAAACCTGAATGGTTTTTTTTTTTTAGCTATAATGGGTCTTCGGGGAGCTGGACGCCCCCCTCCCCAAACCATATCAAATTAAATAAGATGCCTGGAGTTTAATAACCCAAGAAAAGATCTCGACGGAGTTTGGAAATAGTGACATGAAAGCAGAGTTGCAGATATTCCCAGTTTGACAGGAAACGGGTCCGGATGTGGCTTTTTGGGGAAATGCGGGCGAATTTTTCAGACTGGGAGGGTGGTTTGGGGGTGCCTTGCGGGCACCTCCTCATCCCTTCCGTGTGTGTTATTGGCAATAATTGCTCGCAATTGTCTCTTGCAATGTGTTACCCCCCCCCGCCACTTCTTATGGTTTGGGGTGGTGGTGGGGTGTTTTTTTTTGGTGGTCACGCGCCCCAATTCAGATAGTCCTCGGCTTACGACCACAATCGAGCCCCGAACGTCCGTTGCTAAGCGAGGCGGCTGTTGAGTGAGCTTCGCCCCATTTGACCACCTTTCCCGCTGCAGTGGGTGAAGCGAATCGCTGCCGTCCTTAAGTGAGTCACGCGGCTGTGAAGCGAATCTGCTTCCCCCGCTGACATTGCTTCTTGGGAGGTCACAAAACAGGGGGGGGGTCAACCGGACCCTGGGCACGCTGCGACGGTCGTAAGTATGAATCTGTTGCTGAGCGTCTGAATTTTGATCACGTGACTGTGGGGAGGGTCCCAAGTGCGGAAAATCAGTTGTAATGTAGTTTTTTTCAGCGGCGTTGCAACTTCGAATGGTCACTAAATGAATGGCTGTAAGTAGAGGACTCTATATAGTACGTTGGACTCTGCTTAAGGTTTTATTTTTGAGATCAACCAAAGTCACAAGGACACAAAACCCCCCACAAATTCTCTTGGAAGCTGTCCAAGGTGCTGAAATTCAGCCTGAGCTTACTTTCCTATATATAGAGTAGATTGTCCTTAGAATAGAATAGAGCTGGAAGGGACCTTGGAGGTCTTCTAGTCCAGCCCCCTGATCAAGTAGGAGAACCTATACTGATCTGCCGAAACGGCTCGCTCGTCTCCTCCCACCCAAAGGGGAGACAACTTCTCCCTGCTTCTCCTTTTTGAAATCTTTTTTACGTAAATCAAGTGAAGTTTTAAGGGACCACTCGAAATTATTAATAAAAAAGTGTATATTAAAACGACATCATTAATCACGCCAGGAGTGACGGGATTCTGCAAAACGTTTGGCGCATCCTCCTGATTTATTTGTCGCCGAGTTATCTTTGCAGCAGGAGGGGAAGTTAGTTCTTTTTTATTTCATTTCCCTCCAAGTTCAAAACACCCACCCTCGTGCAAGCAGCTACACGGATACCCAGAAAAAACAATCCAAACCAAATAAACTAGTTATAAAAACTTAATAACATTGTCTGCCAAGGTACCCATCGATCTCTTATAATCAAGGCGTAAGGGTAACATTCGGCAATATTTCCTGCACGCGCTGCACGCACGTCTGTGACAAACCCCAAATAAACAACGGTCTGATTATCCTGGGAAATGAGGGTAAAATAAATGCAATTTATCTATGACAAATGTCTCTGAATACTAAAGTCAGTTGATTCCGTATTACTTTCTAGATAAAAATTGTACATGTTTAGCAGAAGGTATGTCTCTGTATCCTCCGGGCTTCTGTAATACATTTGACAGAGCCAGTTTGGCCCCAGCAAAAGGCACCAGGTTAGAAACTGGGAGATTGTGAGTTCTAGTCCCACTTTAGGCACAAAAGCCAGCTGGGTGACTATGGGCCGATCACCAGGAGATACTGATTCTAGTCCTGCATTAAGTCATAAAAGCCGGCTGTATGACTGTGGGCCATTCACCAGGAGATGGGGAGTTCTAGTCTCGCCTTAGCCATGAAAGGCAACTGGGTGACTTTGGGCCAATCACTGGGAGATGGGGAGTTCTAGTCCCATCTTAGATATGAAAGCTGGCTGGGTGACTTTGGGCCAATCACTTGGAGATCGGGAGTTCTAGTTCCATCTTAGATATGAAAGCTGGCTGGGTGACTTTGGGCCAATCACTGGGAGATGGGGAGTTCTAGTCCAACCTTAGGTATGAAAGCTGGCTGGGTGACTTTGGGCCAATCATGGGAGATGGGGAGTTCTAGTCCCATCTTAGGTATGAAAGCTGGCTGGGTGACTTTGGGCCAATCACTGGGAGATGGGGAATTCTAGTCCCATCTTAGGTATGAAAGCTGGCTGGGTGACTTTGGGCCAATCACTAAAGAAAAAAATGGATATGAGGAGGACCCAGTACGACGTGGGCTGACGAAAATCACTGAAAACTATTGACTTCAATTTATAGTCCCATTGAAGGCAATTTGTATGATCGTTCCCTATTCATTTAATATACAGGTAGTCCTCAACGTACAGCCACAACACTGAGCTCAACATTTCTGTTCCTTAAGCAAGACAGTTGCTCAGTGAGTTTTGCCCTGTTTTACCACCTTCCTTGCCACAGATGAATCACCGCAGGTTTTAAGTCAGTAACACGATTGTTAAGTGAAGCTGGCTTCCCCCCAGAACACTGCAACCTTCATAAATATGAGCCAATTACCCAGTGTTGTTCTGATCACGGGGCCCACGGGGGACGCTTGCAACGGTCGTAAGTGTGAAAAAACGGTCACGGGTCCCCCTTTTTTCCAGCACCATCTTGTAACTTCCAACTCAACAAATGTCTGTAAGTCAAGGACTGGTCTAGGTTAGGGAAAGAGAGGTCCAAGGAGGGGAAAAAGTTTTTTAACAGCCCAAACAAAAGCTGCTTCATTAGCTGTAACAAGTTTAAGGCGTTTATTGATGAAGGATTATCACCGTGGCTTCTGTTCTCAGCTACTTTGCATTAGAAAATCTTCTCTCACGCAAAAACAAGGCTTGAATTTCGAGAAGGGGGGGGGAGAAAAGAAAACCCTGCCTCTAATCCTTTAATTCTCACCCTCCCTCCGGAGTAAAAGACTAAGTACGCTATTCTGAGTTTTAATGCTAGTTAAGGACTGGGCGGTTACATACCTCCCCAAAGCTTTTCCTTTTTATCCGAGAGAACTTGGCCAAGGTCAAACTTTGTGCATTTCAGGTTCAGCTCCAAAAAATTAAGAATCCTGGGGATTTCAGTTCAAACAGGATCACTCTCATTAGTCTAGCAAAAGTCAATCTCATTTCTGTAAACAAGGAGGGCCTCTTTAGAAGCCAAGATACCTTACCTTCTGGAAGACTTGGTAGCTGGACTTCGACCATATATCAAGCTAGGGAAGAAAGCAAAAGAAAAAAAAGAATCTGTATTAGCATACTTCTAACAACTCAACACTTGCTCCTGGGGAGGAAAGCTATGGCAAATCTAGATAGCATACTAAAAAGCAGAGACATCACCCTGTGTGTATAGCCAAGGCGATGGTTTTCCCAGTTGCAATGGATGGCTGTGAAAGTTGGACCATAAGGAAGGCTGAGCGCCAAAGAATGGAGGCCTTTGAACTCTGGTGCTGGAGAAGACGCCTAACGAGTCCCTTGGACTGCAAGGCGATCCAACCGGTCTGTCCTAGAGGAGATCAACCCTGACTGCTCTTGAGAAGGCCAGATCTTGAAGAGGAAACTCAAATCCTTTGGCCACCTAATGAGAAGGAAGGACTCACTGGAGAAGAGCCTAATGCTGGGAACGATTGAGGGCAAAATTGAGGGCAAAAATGATTGAGGACAGTTCTACAGAGGAATTATTGAGTCTGTCATCTGCACCTCTATAACTGTCTGGTTTGGTTCTGCAACCCAACAAGACAGACACAGACTTCAGAGGATAATGAGAACTGCAGGTGAGGGCTGGAGCTACGGTCTGTTCCAAACGAACATCCTAAATTTTAGGTAGAACCCAACAGGAACATTCCTGGGAAACCCAATTTCCTGATAGTGAGAAAAAAATTCATCTTGCCTCCAGAAGTTGTGGATGCTCCATCAGTGGTGGTTTTTTTCAAGAAGAGATTGGACAATCGTCAGTCTGAAATGGTCTGGGATCTCCTGCTTGAGGAGAAAGAGACCTCCAAGGCGCCTCTCAACTCTTGTTTATTCTCTTGCCTTCTTTGTGGCAGGAGCTACAAAGGACTAACTCTCCTTGGTCTTCAGAACTTCCAAAGTTTCTCCTAGAGGGACATATTCCTGGGTCCAGGATGAACTCACTCAGACGGGGCTGTTCGGATGTTCGGTTGCAAGATTGCTTCAAGTCAGTTGGAACAGATTGTGCTGATCCACATGAATATTTAACAGTCCCCCAAACGGTGCTTATAACAAGGCATCTTTCAATGCTTTGATGCATCTTTGTGTCCACAACATAAGTAATTCAGTGACAAGTGACACAGAAAACATTTAGCTGAATTAAGGCAGAATTCTGCCCTGCGGGGAAATAAATAAAATGCCCCCCACTCCCTCTGCTAAATATTACATTGAGATCCGGAGACTGGGAGGTGAGGACGGATGTTACCCCCGAGTTAAAAAAAGAGGGGAACAAAAGTTATCCATTCTGTAAACTGGATATTTTCAGATTATAATGTCAAGGCCAGAAACCTTTATCTTGATATATGAGTTTATGGAGAGGGCAACATTAGACAATTAAATTAGACACAGCTAAGTAATTGATGCTCAGGTTTTGCCTCCTATTTTTAGCTTCGAAGGAGAGATCTGCCCTTTGTTCAGGAACGTTGGGAGTAAATCAAGAGTAGCTTTCCATTCATGCCTCCCCAAAATATTGGATCCCATGATTAAACTGCTACTACAGATTTATACACAGGGGGGGGGGAAGGAGCCATAATAATTTGGAGTCTTGCTGAGCATTTATCCCAAATCCAACTATTTGCATATCAAAAGATATAACACGGCACGGAATACAGGCAGATCACTGGAGTTCCACTTGCTGTTTATTAGATGGGAAGGCAAATCTTACTTATTTGTAATATTTATTCTGAAGTCACATGGTCCAAAGTGCTATAAATACAACCACAATTGAGCCCAACAATTCTGTTGCAAGGAGGACAGTTGTTAAGTGAATTTTGCCCCTTATTCTTTCAACCTTTCTCACCACAGTGGGCTAAGTGGATCACTGCAGTTGCTCAGCTGGTAAGTTTTTAAACACTAACAATCAAGTATTTAAGCTTACAGTGCCATCTACACAGCACTCTCTGTCAAACAAATAAATAAATAAATAAGTCCAACGTTTCTATCACTTATGCAACCCTCTCCCTCCCTCCCAGCAAAGGCGTGTGGCCTAATTCTTTTCAAATTCCAAATATCGGTGAATAGCTCGCTGTTTTCCACTCCTGTCCAGAAGTATGGCTCAATTAATATTTTAGTTATTGCTATTATTTATTCATCAAACCCTCCCGAACGTGCCTGGCACTTGACAGGTGTACAAGAACAGAGGTCACGGACAAGAAGTCCCAACGAACGACAGAGGGGAGAGAGGGCGGAGAGATGGGGGCGGAGGGACAGAGACAACTGGCCATGCAGACATAGGGGGGCTCCCCACGGCCTTGAAAAGTCGGTGAGGTAGACCAGCTTAGGAAACTTACTCTGGAAGGAGACTAGGATTCTACTTTAGAGAGAGAGAGAGGGAGAGAGAGAGGGAGGGAGGGAGGGAGGGAGCAAGAAAGAGCGTGTAACAGACTCTTCCAAGCCTACTGCCGTTTTTATCTTCCCTCCGTCTTATAAGGACATCAATTCATAGAGCTGGAAGGGGCCTTGGGTGCTCAAGGAACGATGGTTCTCAGAGAAATCGTTGTCCAATCTTTTCTTGAAAACTTCTAGACAGATAATAGAAGGTAGAGAGGGAGCTGGATGACAAGATAGAAGGGAGGGATGGGGAGGGAGGGAGAGAGAGAGAGAGAGGAATGAAAGATAGATGGATGCATATAGGTAGGTAGGTAGGTAGGTGGATGGATGGATGGATGGAGAGAGAAAGAAAGAGAGAGAGAGGGAGGGAGGGGGAGAGAGAGAGATAAATGAAAGATAGATGGATGAAGATAGATAGATAGATAGATAGATAGATAGATAGATAGATAGATAGATAGATAGATAGATAGATAGAGATAGATGATAGGTAGGTAGGATTGTAGGTAGGTAAATGATGGATGGAGAGAGAGATTAGATGGATGGATGGATGGAGAAAGAAAGAGAGAGAGGGGGGAGAGAGAGAAATGAAAGATAGATGGATGGAGATAGATAGATAGATAGATAGATAGATAGATAGATAGATAGATAGA